AACAAAGTTATAATACCCTTGTGCACAAGTGCGCTCGGGTATAATAAGGTACGACGACAATGTAATGCTTTACTGTGACACCTCGACCGGCTACGTTCGTCCTTATGTTCCGGGAAGCCTACGACATCAAGTGTTTGCCTCTGTTCATGGTCTCGCTCATCCGAGTGGCAGATCAACGCTACAACATATACGTCAGACATATGTCTGGCCAGCGATGAATAAGGATGTGATTCAGTGGTGCAGAAGCTGTTTACCTTGTCAACGGGCAAAACTCAGCAGGCATAATCATCTAACGCCAGAAAAGATTATTGTTCCAGACGCTCGTTTCGACCATGTTCACCTAGACATTGTGGTCATGCCGTTACGACGAAATTTTTGATACTGCCTCACGATGATTGATCGGTTTTCTCGTTGGCCAGAAGCCGTGCCATTAACAAACATCACTGCAGAAACTGTTGCAACTGCTTTTTGGACGCATTGGGTAGCACGCTTTGGGACTCCAAAGACGATTACGACGGATCAAGGGACGCAGTTCGAGTCAGCTGTATTCAAAGAACTGGCGAAGCTTATGGGAAGCAATCACATCCATACCACGGCTTATCACCCGCAGTCCAATGGGTTGGTTGAACGGTGGCACAGAACGTTCAAGGCGGCGCTCATGTGCAATGACGAGTTGCCCTGGATTGATCTATTACCAACTGTTTTGCTTGGACTGCGTTCCTGTTATAAGGAATCCTTGGGAGCATCCACCGCTGAAATGCTGTATGGCGCACCACTACGAGTCCCTAATGAATTTTTTGATGACGTCGAAGCAGATGTGGCATCAGCAACATTCCTGAACTATCTCCGACAAGACATACGTCAGATACGACCAAGCCCAACAGTCCACCATGTTAAGGAGAAAATGTTTTTACTCAAGGGCATCGAAAATTGCTCGCATGTGTTCATCCGGTCCGATGCTGTAAAGCAACCTCTCGAGCCGCCGTACACTGGTCCGTTCGAAGTTGTTCAAAGAGAAAACGATAGGGTATACAAGGTGAAGATCAATGACAAAGTGGTAGCCGTTTCAGTAGACCGACTTAAACCAGCGTTCTTCATTAGAGATGATCGTCAAGTTAACCAGCAAAGTTCTACCGACGTGTCTTCGAGAGCAAATGGTAGGCAACACCGTGTACACTTCGACTAATCGTGACACAGTCACTGGAGAGGGAGTACTGTGGGAACTCCACAAACAGCGGCAACTCTGCCAGTAAGGGATCTCTATCGATTATTAATCGTTATCGGTGAGATATATCTTCTCTTGGGAGAAGCGCGAATTATTACTGGATGCTTTCCATTTCCAGACAACCGGTCAGGTACGAGCATGATTTTTAATTTCGACCAAACTCAAATACATTGTTTGTTGGTCCAAATAATGAGACACGTATTTTTTCTTTTGGCTCGGAAAAATTTTTCGGCCG